GGTACATGCTTGGACAAAAAAAACACAATGCAAATGGTAAAGAAAATGTTATAGATATAACCGAGATTATGAATGTGAGTATTGAGAGAGAGATTTTAAATATTAAAAAATATATTAAACATCTCCATGTATATTCATCTGCAATGTAATTCAATGTTGATTTAAGAAAATTTGATACTAATGAATAAAATGAATAATTATTATTAGTTGTTGATGATGATGAAATGGAATTAATGATTACTGAATTATCTAAACAAAATACTGGTGGATAATAAATTTGATAATATCTATTCTCATGGTAAAACTTTGGTTGTCCTCCAAAAAAACTTTGGGTTGCGAGTTCTATACGAAAGGTAGAAAGTATCAAAGTGAGTTTTTCTTGAGTCAAGTCAATCAAAAAACCATTATATAAAAAGCGATTAACCTTACCAATACGACCTAACATTCTTTAAAAGTAATGATAGCATTAATTATAACAATAACATAAATAAATAAAATAAAATAAAATAAAATAAAAAAAATAAATACTAATACTTTCATACCTGTAAGATGCTGCTGTTATCAAGAAAATTATATACGCTAGTGGCGGATTTAATAAACTCACCAAACAAACAACACTGGTTACTATTACCCACGAAAAACAAAAAAATCCAAATGGCAAAGAAAAAAATATTAAATAAATTAAACAACCCCATGTTTTTAATTCACAAGGTGCAAAACAACAAGAATCATCCTCATCTAATTCTTGTTGAAACCTAGATGTTATATCTCCTCCTTGCAAAAAGTTCATTCTCGCCCCATGTCTTCCAGACATTCTATTTAATGATAGCGATGAAGATGTCGATGAGAGTGGTTGAGATATAGTTGAATTGAATATTTGAAAAAAAGGATTATTATTTGAAACTGCAATTGATGATGATAGTGGCTGAGGTGGTGAATAAACTAAAGGTGCATGCATATTGGCATTGTGATATGACGAAAGTTGAGGAGTAATTCTCATTGTAGAAAGAAAGGATGTGGTTGATAAGGAGGATCTTGAAAGGTCATTGTGATTAGGTGGTTGTGATCGTGAATTGTGCGAGACAATTTGCTGGCCATAATTATTTGAAGAATTAACAGCTTGATGTCTATTTTGAACTACACTGTTAGTTACAAGCGGGTATTCTGAATACTATATTTATTATTTATTAAACAAAAAAATTAAAAAGAAATTTGAAACGTTCATTAGTTTTATAAGAAATAAATTAACCTGAAAATCGAATAAATTAACATTTACTATCAAATAAATAATTTATAATCGTTACAGGAGGTGGTGGTTCATTCAGTATCTCATCGTTCGATAAGAGTTCTTCTTCAGTATAAATAGTTCTTTCAATTGCTGGCGGCATTTTAAAAATAAGAATATATAAAGCAGATTGTGAACATTATAATAATATGGGTTCAAAAATTACGTGTCACAAAAATATTGGATGCTGCACAAAAAAAATAATTTGTACGAGCACTTTCAATAGTAATAGTAATAGTACTTATAGAGCGGATTTCTACGAAACTGTCAACATTGAATATTTGTACGAAAAGTAGAAAGTTTTTTTCCGTATATAATTACCCATTCCTTCATTAATCAACTTTTCACAAATAACTTTTTTTTTTTTTTGCTTCCTTCCCAGCAAAATGAGTTCAATTATTCCCGTTAAATGTAACCAAAAAAAAAAAAACTAGAAAATGGAAAAATTCAATACAAGTCAGGATTTCTCGTAGCACTTTTACCGTTTTCGAAAATCATAGGAATATTCTTGACTTCGTACGGAAAATGTGAAAGAATTAACGAAATATTGAGACGTTTCAAGTTCGCTACCGCAGAGGAATACGCACGGGGAGCAATCGATGAAGATGTAAACTGTCGTTCTTCTGTGTTTAGCTCGCAATAACAATAAGAATGGCAGTAATGAGAGAACATCTACCGAGATGAGTATAAGGATAAACCTTAATTCAGACAGTGCTAGGAATTTGGTTTATGTAGTTAGCCTATATTTCAAAAAGAAAAATAGAGAAAAGCTTTTCTTGAATAAACTAGATATTTCCTTTTCATATAACGGAAATAAAATAACCTAATAAACTATTTGAAGCGAAAATTTCATTGATATTATACATTCAATCAAGGTTCTACTAAAATACAATAATAAATCTTTCTCCCGCTATTCAGAAAGTGGTGAAAGTCTATAGAAGGATTTTAAACACTCGTTTAATAAAAAGGCTGGGCTAAATTCGAGCTTTTATTTAACAAAATGATAGTTGAAACCCATAAGTTACGAAGAAGTTGCTATTTGCTAAGAAAAACCAATCCTAGGAAGAAAACAATCAAAACAATTCAGGCTAAAAGATTGAGATTGATAATGACCATTGATGATAATAAAAAATAGTATAGATACTTTTATCTACCCGAATGACCAGAGAAAAAGTAATGCTCATAAATGGCTTCCCATTGTAATTTCTCGAGTATAGGGACATTCAGTATGGTATAACTCTTGCAAAACGTATGGTATGGTATTGTATAAGTGTAATAAAATGGTTGTATACCAATGCTTAAATCTAACATACTTCCCTTCACACCCACCAAAAAAGGATTTAGAATAAAATTTTGTGTGACTTGGTATGGAAAAATATGGGCTATACCATACCATACCATACGTTCTGCAAGAGTTATACCATACTGAATCTCTCCCTACCGTAATTTCTCTGTACATTTTCCATTGTACTGGTTGAATAAAACATGGCTTATCTTTCTATACCTTTCCTTGTATGTGAATGAATACCTTTATTTCCATTCTGTATGGAGTAAACTATGATTTGACAGAAATCGTTTCATAATCTTTTCGGATAAATTAATTTGTTTCTTCTTATATTTCTAGTTTACAGTTGAGTTTATCCTCAGAGATAGTTTGGATGCAGATGAAGGTTAGGCGTCAATTGGTCTTTATAAAAAAGAACCCGCAAGTCATCATCTTTTTTGGTCAGAGTAATTGTTCTTTAACAATTAATTAAAATTTACTATTCGATTAGCTAGACAAAATATTTGATCACATCACGTTTATACTAATTAGTAAAAAATCTACATAACAATATATTCGAAATTTCGCGTTGCTAGCTTTCATGTATCAAGATTAACAAAAAAAACTAAAATTCAATTTACATAATAAAAAATTGTAAATTTTATATAAACGAAGGCTATTGTTTTTGAAGAATAAATATATGAAATTTCATATCTAGAAAATTAGTGATTAAAAAATAGCAATAACATCGACAAGGAAGATACTGAATCATGAAAAATAAAACTTCTTTGAAATTATTTGATACATTAAAGCTGACATCATGAAATTTCGAATATATATTTACCAAAATCTAGGCTGTGATTTTTTACTAATTAGTGTAAACATGTGATCAAATACCTTTGTCTAGGAAGGGTGTGTAATATAATTTTGGGGTCCTGTTCACTGAATCATATATTTCTTAGAAGTAGGGATAGGATTAAAGCTCGCTTTTCATTATAATATTTATTTAATTATCGAAGAAAAGTTTTGAATATTGATGTCCTGCTGTCTCTGCAAAATTATATGCAGTGTTGTGTCATTTATGGTTCCAATAAAATTTCATTGGAGCATTCTAATAAATTTCAATTGGAATTGGAACATTCCAAATGTGATTCCAATGAAGTTAACCAATGAAATTCAATTACAGCGTCATACACATGAATTTTATTGGTTGATATCAATTGAAGATCTACATTGGAACATTCCAACAGCGTTACAATGTTCCAATTGCACAACAGCATAGTGGAATTTCGTAATTATCACGAATGTGACTTAAAATGTCGATCTTTTTTATATTGTGTAATGGTAATTTTAAAGTACTTTTCAATTGGACGTTTGACCTTAATGTGACGTAAAAAC